GCAAATGATCCAATGGGGAAGAGAAGGTAGTAAGAATAAACTATCGCAGCTACACAGGATTTCCTTTGCTATGACACATCTTAAAGAGGACATTCCCACAGAAAGCAGGTTAGTGTTCACCTTTGCAGTGATGAAGCTACCCAGACAGTATGAACTAGACTTCTGAGATGCTGGCAATGCTGCATGTTTAGATCTGGGTGCTGATCATCGATGGGTGTTTACTTGTGAAAATTTCAGCCAACCATGTTTAAGATCATTAGACTTGTCTACATACATGTTATACTTCAAGTTAATTGTGTAATGGTTTTTAAGATTTAGTATATTTCCTTTAGGACTTTTTTTTTAATTGTTGTTCATGTACAGTTGTCTCCATTATCCTGCCACCATTTCCCCCACCCTACCCCCCCTGACCTGCCACCCTCAATCCTAACCATGGGTCCTTTCTACAGGTTCCTTGATGAATCTTCCTCTTCTTTCCCCGTTACTCCCTTCCCTCCACCTCTCTGGCTACTGTCGGTTTGTTCTTTATTTCAGTGTCTCTGGTTCTGTTTTGTTTGCTTGTTTGTTTTGTTGATTAGGTTCCACTTATAGATGACATCATACACTATTGGTCTTCCACTGCCTGGCTTATTTCACTTATCATAATGCTCTCCAATTCCATCCATGCTGTCTTGAGGAGAGTAGAGTTCCTCCTTTCTTTCTGCTGCGTAGCATTCCATTGCGTAAATGTACCATCATTTTTTGACCCACTCATTTACTGATGGGCACTTAGGTTGCTTCCAGCACTTGGCTATTGTAAATTGTGTTGCTATGACCATTGGGGTGCATAGGTTCTTTTGAATTGGTGTTTCAGGATTCTCAGGGTAGTTCCATTTTTAGATTTTTGAAGAAATTCCATACTGTTTTCCACAGTGGCTGCACCAGTCTGCATTCCCACCAGCAGTTTACTAGGGTTCCCTTTTCTCCACATCCAGCAGTTTGTTGATTCTGACTGGTGTGAAGTGGTATCTCATTGTGGTTTTAATTTGCATCTCTCTGATGGCTAGTGATGCTGAGCGTCCTTTCATACGTCTCTGGGCCCTCTGTATGTCCTCCTTGGAGAAGGTCCTTTGCCCACTTTTTAAATGGATCGTTTGTCTTCCTGGAGTGGAGGCATGTGAGTTCTTTATATATTTCAGACCCTTTTCCGAGGTATCATTGGCAAATATATTTTCCCATATGGTTGGTTCGCTTTTTCATTTTGCTGATGTTTTCTTTAGCCATGCAGAAGCTTTTTATTTGGATGAAGTCCTATTTGTTTTTTTCTTTTCTTTATGTTCCTTGCTCTAGGGGACATATCAGTGAAAATATTGCTGTGGGGAATATCTGAGATTTTCCTGCCTATGTTCTCCTCTAGGACTTTTATGGTGTCACGACTTATATTTAAGTCTTTTATCCATCTTGAGTTTATTTTTGTGTATAGTGTAAGTTGGTGGTCAAGTTTAATTTTTTTGCATGTAGCTGTCCAGTCTCCCAACACCATTTGTTGAAGAGGCTATATTTACTCCATTTTATGCTTCTGCCCCTGTTGTCAAATATTAATTGACCATAGAGACATGGGTTTATTTCTGGGCTTTCTAGTCTATTTCATTGGTCTATGTGTCTGTTCTTATTTTTAAAATGCTTATATTTGCATGTTAGTTGTAATAGAAATTGTACTTTCTTTATTTTCTTATGCTTACTATTCCATGTAATTCCATAGTCCTGTAATCATTATTGTTAACAGCTTTGTAATATACAATTGTGTGGATAGACCATAACCCTTTTTTTAATCATGTCTGTAGGGCTAGGCGGACGTAGTGCTCTTCATTGTCACATTTATAAAAACACAAGGACCCACATCTTTGAATATAAAGATTCTTCTGCATTTAAGGTGATTCACTGAAAATAGATTCTTAGAGGTAAAGAAATTAGATTGATTATCTTTAAAACCTAGATACACAGTTACAAATTACCTCCAACAGTATTGGCCTCATCAAACCCTTGCCCACAGCTGTATTCGACAATCGTGCACAGAATTGGCAAGTTTTCTAATACAGCATTTGCAAAATCTTTTTCCTTTGTAGTAATATAAAGTGGGAGGTCCTTCTGCCCCTTTGTAGTCTCTTGGCACCTCGCCCACTTGACACAATTTCTCAGTGAATATCATTGTGACACTGCATGACCATTTGCAGGTTTTTATCAGTCCTCTCTTTAACTATCTTGGGCTTCAGTTCACTGTTCTTAAACCAAAGAACAAAAATGGAAGCCAAGAGGATTTGAAGAAATTTGCTCTTTCTCCAAACATGAAAACAAATGAACAAAAAAAACTGATTTGGTCACTTTTTTCATCTTTTTAAAGTTCTAATTCATTTATGACATAAGCTTTTTTGGCATTGCATTTAGAGAGTTCTACTTTATTTTTATATTTTTTCAGTCATTTTTCCTTCTTTCCACTTTCTGAATATTCTTTAAAAACACCTTTTTCTGAAAACATAGCATACTTCAAATATCATATGAATACCTCAAATGAATATTTTATCTATTTGAACTAATGTGTCATATTCTTTTCACAATTCTACATTTTCCATTGTATAAAATAAAACAGTTACTTATTTTATGAAGAAATACTTTCAGCATAAAAAAATAGAGAGGAAATGAAACACTTGTTCCAAAGAACAAATCATGTCAACTCAACCTTCTTCAGAGAGTTCTTGGGCTGATAGATTCCAGAAATGCAGTAGACAGAGTATCACGGTCTGGAGTAAATTTGATCCTATTCTCAAGCTATTTTGTGGAAAAATACAGCATCAGCATCTGAGTGAAATGAGAAGTTGGGGAGATGAGTAACTAGTTAGATAACTAACCAAAGTTTCTGGCAAAACAGATGAATGCCAGCCTGGAAGAAGGATTCTATTCTAGGTCATGCCACAGAGCTGTACCACTGCATTTTCCATGTTACTACTTGTATTAATAATCTGAAAGAAGTTTAAGAAAAATTATGTTCAGAAACTTGCAGATAATGGAGAATATGGTGATAGGTACTGTAATACTCAGATGAGTCAAAGAAGATGGAAGTCAATAGTATACATGACTCTGTACTTGAGTTTCAGAAATACAACCACATTTATATATGTAGAAATAGGCAGACTTTTTTTTTTTTTTTTTTTGGTTGGGGGCTTGAAGGTTGATGGTACATTCACTGAAATCAATTAAAAACTGGGATGTTGGCAATGCTAATAGAAGCCCAGTATAAGTAAGAAAGGTAGAAAATAGTTACTATCTTGGTAATTATGTATTGACAAGACCACATGTAGACTGTTGCTTCTAGTCCTTTCTCACTAAGAGGGACAAACTGAAGGATGTCCTAGGGTGAGTAGCTAGGATGATTCAAAAGCCTTGAACTCTTATTATATGAGAAGTTGTTGAAGAGTAAGAATGTTAATGAACTGAAAATTATCTTCAATATCCAGACATATTTTCTATGCAAGCAAAGGCAGACTTTCTGTGATTTGGGGAACAGAATCAAGACCATTGAGGAATCAAACTTGGGTTTAATAGAAGTGACAATTTCTAGCATTCAGAGCTATGTGTATATAACATAGAGTCTGCTGAGTCTGCTGCAGACATTACCATTTCTTCTCTACTTCCGGGCACATAGAGGACTCCACTAACCTCACTGAAGTTAGGCATGGCCACATGACTGTATCTAGCCAATGAAACCTGAGTCAAAGCAAAAGTGTTGCTTCTGATACAAGGTGTTGCATATAAATTAAGACTCTTCAGCATTCTCTTCTGCCTCAGTGAACACTGAAGTCTGTGTTAAAGTGGAGGTACCAGCCTTGGTCTCTGAGTGACTACAATGATGAGAATCTCCTACAACCATCATACTATGTTCCCCCAGACCCAGCCACACACCTACCTTGGACATGTAGTTTGAATGGAAAAGAAGCCTTTACTGTTTCTAGCCACTGAAGTCCATGGGTTTTATTATATTTGCATAAGCTTTTCTATCCTAACACAAGTACCTTCAAGAGGCAATGGTTTCTTATGAATGAGCATGAGCAAGACAAGCATTGTGTTCCTGAGGCTCACACACATTGCCTTCTTTGTCTTTGTCCTTGTCTTTGTTTTGTTTTTTTTTAATTGCTACACTACATTCAGACTATTGCTGGGGGCATAACTTAGCTGGAATTTTCAACTTGTTCCAGGACTTCCTGAAAGATGACCATAATGAAATAGGCTAATGTAATTATCTTCTGAAACTCCACTTCATGCCCAGCAACATCACAAATTCATGGATCCCATCCACAAGGGAAGAACCAACTATGACTAGACAGTTCATTCTGCAAAGATTCTATTGCCACACAAACACACACACACCACTATGAGGTCCACCAGAGATCTCAGGATCAAAGTGACTTTTTGAACATGACCTTCAGTTTGATTGTTACACATTCACATCAGTAGGGCTATTGCCAAGTGACTGTTTCAGTCTATGCATATAGATGCATTATTTACCCATAACAAAGTTTCCCAAGGGTGCCCTTGGTACCATCTACTAACCCATGAGTTAACCTATGCTCTTGGTACCATCTACTAACCCAGGGGTTCTCTCAGGAACCCGTGCAACCAAATGAAGCTCACTCCATGCCACAGCGTACCCACTTAGTGTTATTGTTAAAGCTATTCTCTGCTGGACAGACTCTGATATGTTTAAAAGGTGGTTTTGTCTGGGGAAGAAGCTTATGAGGTAATGGGAGCCAGGAAGTGAAAGGAGTAAAGATGTACCTAGCCTGAAAAGAAATGAAGAAACAGTATTAAAAGGTGATTCCAATGGGGCAGAATGGAAAGAACAAATTTAAAATTATAATTAAAAACATATTAATGCATATGTATGGAAGTATCTATGTATTTTTTTCTTTATATATCAAACCAAATTCACAACTAATTAATTAGAGTCTCACTTTTGTTGTTCACAGGAAACGAAAATCAACTGTGTTCGTCTGGCTACAAAAGGTATGTTGGCATGCTCTTGTCTGTCTTCAGCCAGTCTTCAGTCATTTCAGTAGTTCTCCCTCAAACCACACAGGGAGAGTCTAGGCAACAGTAACCAAAAATAACAAGAAAGAGTCCTTATTTTTATTGGAGTCATTTTCATGTAGGCATTAATATATACCTGATTGTGTATATATTAATAACACAGTGCCTGAAGCATAGTAAGAGCTCAAAACATATTTGTTGAATCCATGGATGGATGGATAGATGTATGGACTGGTACGTTAATCAGTGGTGACTATAAATTCACACAAATATTCTCCTGCTATATATTTTTTATATTTGTTTATGTTGGAATTTTTAAGCATGTTTATGCAACTTATCTTCTGGGTTTTGTACTTTATTCATTTACACATGGCTTTCAAAGATGAGGTGATTACTGTTGGTGCCTTTAATAACAAGAAAAGAAACGCTGCTTAGTTTTGTAGTTGGCATTTTCAACACTTACCCCCAAAACTAGGGCAACAGTGTTCAGGCTCATCACTTTTTGTTTTCCTAATTATAATTGAATTGTCTGGCTCTTTCAACTGGTATATGTTTCTGTTTATTACTCTTTTTTTAAAAAAATCAATGAATGGTTTGTTATTTAACCTATTACAAGGTTGAATAGTTAGAAATCAGGTTTATCTTTTTGTTATAGAATTGATATTTTTAATAGCTGTCCTTTCCATATAAACACACCAAAATTGGGCAATTCTGTTTTGCTCCCTGCATTTATTGATAGCATATATAGTTTTATAGATTGCTTCCATGGAGATGACAATTATAAACATGAGTATAAATATAGTCACAAATATAAAGTATAGATAAAAACAATGGCCCAAATATGTATCTATACATATGCATACACATATAGAGGAAAACGTACACATATATGGGGGGTGGGGAAGAGACAGTGACACAGATAAGGGGGTGGGGGGGGAGAGAGAATTATCTATGGTTATTTGGCAAAACACGCACCAAGACCTATCATGCACAGCCTTTACAACTTTGAAGAAAATCAAATCAATGTGGAGGCAGAACAGCGAAGATGCAGGAGGAAGGAGAAAACAGAAGCATTAAGGGCTCATTATGATAAGAACTCACCCTGATGTCACATTAAGTCCTGAGAGGTCGGCATGTCCCTAACTTCTTCCCTCTTGGGAGCTCAAGCTACTGGACAGAAAGAAATAAAATACCTTTCATGAGGAGGCCAGGAGAATTGATGGCCTGCAAACAAAAGTGACACAAATCACAGGAGCGGGCATAGAAAGCCTCTCGAGATGGTGCTCCATGGAGCTGCTCTCATCTTGGACCTCTAGACCAGGGAGGGGTTGATGTGCTTGTTCTGCCTTCCATGGGGTGTGTGGGATTCTAAGGACATCCTCTGAGATATAAGCCCCCTAACAGGTAGTTGGTTGGGTCCTGTCTTCTGAACTTAGAATAGGGAACATGTGATGGACAGGCAGTAGCTATATGTGGGGACTTGGAGAGAGTGTTTAACAGTGAACTTTCCTGGGACGTTCAGGAGCCACTGTGCTTGCATGCTTCTCTGGAGTTGCCTTGCTGACCTAGGAGAAGTGAGTGGGGTTTAGGGAACTACTCAGAAGAGCTAACTCTCCTTAGAAACCCTTAGGATTTCTCATCTAGTTTGACCTTTAAGTCTTTGTTATTGGAATGTGTGTATCTGTAAGGTGTGGAGGGATAGGAACTCATGAGCGAAATGATAGGATACAGGCTGGCCCAGCCCTGGGAGTTGGGAGTCAGGAGTGGCTCTGAGCAGCCACACCCTGGTTATCCAGTTCACTGAGGGCCCACACTGCAGCCCAGAGAAGCAGGGTTGTAGCAGCACTTGAGCATGGGGCAGGGAGCTGGTTGGGGCAGAATGCCCGTCCACAGCTCAGGGCATGATCCCTACTCAGTACCCATCAGATAAGAGGGCACGTGGAGACTGCAGAGCACAGGCAAGGGAAGGGAGCCTGGGTTTGGTTCATGTCTGCTCTATGTCTGGCCTGACGGTACGAGCATCCAGGGTCAACTAAAGGCAGATCCCATCTAAATCCATGCACCGCCTGTGGGGACTTTGTATCAGGATCTGAGGCCTGGAATCGATATTTGACCTATGCCTTTCCTGAATCAAATTTCCCCCTTAGTGGGCTTGCTGAAAACACTGTTCTTTTTAATGAAGGAAAATACAATACTGGGAACCCCGCAGGCATCGGGGGATGTAATGTCCCAGTGGCAGATTCCACAGGCTATCTGCTTCCTCCAAGCTCCTGCACCTCTCTGTCACTGTGGCACCTTCCTCCTGGGTCCTCCAGCAGGCATGCACCCCTGGAATGGGATCACGCCTGCAGGCTTGAGGCCAGTGCTCTGGTGATGAAGCAACTTGCTTATGTTCTGTCCTCGACCGTGGTGACACCAGACAGTGTCTGTAGTCAGCTGTGTGAGTCTCATAGAACTGGAGGACTGCCACTCAGGACGAAACAGCTCTGAACACTCATTTGGAGTCATTCTGACCTGACCCCCAGCCCAGTGCTTCTTCTGTTAGATACCACACCTGCCCCCAGGGTGGGGCTCTAGCCTGTGCCTGTCTGTAATGTCACTGTTGGTCACTCAAGCTCTAGTGTAGTGCTGCCCAGTTTGGGGGGTTGTGAAGGAAGGAACCTGTATAAATTTTCCGTGGCTGTTGTACCAAAGCAGCACAGATTGAGTGGCTCCAACAACAACATTTAATGTCTCACAGTTCTGGAGGCTAGAAGTCTGACAGGAAGGGCTCGCCCGGGTTAGTTCCTCTTTGGGGCTGGGATGGCAGGACCTGGTCTAGGTGTCTCCCTTGGCTTCCGGTGGTTTGTGGCATCTTTGGGTTCTTTGGCTAATAGAAGGATCACCCCGATCTGTGCTTTCATCTTCACTGTGCTTTCATCATCAGAGATGCCATCTCCCTCTGTGCGTCTCTGTGTCCAAAGTCTGCTGTTTATAAGGACACTCGTCATATTGGATTAGGGCCCACCCTACTCCAGTTTGTCCTCATCCTAACTAATTACATCTGCAAGGGTCCTGTTACCAAATAAGGTCACATTCTGAGGTCCTGGAGGTTCGGACTTCAACATATAAACCAGAGGTGGGGGCTTACTATTCAACCCATGGCAGGAACCATGGAACCAGGCAGGTAGGGGCAGTGTCCGTGTGGCTCCCATCAGAGCCTCTGACTGTTCCCCATTCACAGTGTCATCCCAGCATCTTCGAAGGCCCTGCCAGAGTGGGGCCCAAAGGTGGGCTGAGGTCCAGCTTTGGCTCCTGTTTCCTCCAGAAATGGGTGGGGCTGCCTCTGGCAGAGGAGCCGGGTCTGTGGCAGCCGGACCCTTCTCAGACCCCACCTGATGGTGGAGCGGCAGGTCCTGATCCAGGCAAGGTTCTGGGGCCGGAACAGGCTGGGCTTCCTGGGGAAGGAGCCCGCACTTCCCTGTGAGGGGAGCTCTGATGAAGGTGGCTCAGTCTAACCACTAATTTGCCAATCCCATGCTGCCATGGCAGGAGGTCCCTGGCACATAGTTGGCTGAAACGAGTAAATGCGTTGGAGTCAGCGTCTCACACAGCCGGGCTCAGGGACCTTGAGGGTCTCACTTGATCTTCCCGAAACTCAGAAGCATCATATTTAAAGTGATCCCCATCTACCCATTCAAAGAACCTTCTGAACATATCTACGGCCAGTGGTTTGCCGATAAACATGTTCTTTGTTTAAAAAAAAAAAAAAAATCCCTTACTTGTTTTCTTTGTTGACCTCCTGGTATAAATATCCCCACCAGGTCCAATTTCAAGTTACCAATGGTTTAACAACTGGCTGACAAAAGAAAGAGAGAGAAAAGGAAGGAAGGGAGAGAGGGAGGGAGGAAGAAGGAAGGAAGATCCTGAACGTGTAACGACCAGCTCTAGCCAGCTGGAGCAAGCCAGCCCCAGAACACCAAGACCTCTATTACCCAGTTCGTTATGAGGCTCAAATGATGGAAACATAAAAGTGTTTTACTTACTGCAAAGTGTTTGGGAAAATATTTTTATTATTATGCCTGTCTATTCTTGCCTACACATAGTCAGCTCACTGGTGGAGGGTACGTGAGCCAGGCTTCTTGAAGAAAACTGAGGATTTCCTGGTCCCTGTCCTCAAGGGGCTCACAGTCTAGGCTGGAAACAGACACCACACAGACCACTTTAACAGACAGGGGTGCAGTTATATTTGTGATCAGTGCTTCTGAAGAACCTGGGGACTGAAGGAGTCCTGTGTAGCCCTGCCCTATGTGTTCCGGGCCACCATGTAGAGCTCTGCTCTCCCGGAACTTTTGCCTCCCTGTCCCCTCAGCCCACCCTCCCACTGGCACTGGGGATTGGGTAGAACCCGGAGCAAGGGTGGGATCTGGGAGGCCAGCGGACTCAGAACCTCAAACTGCGGGAGGAGCCCTACTCGTGGCCTAAGTCCCAGAGGAAGGGCCAAGTGCCCTGTGTTTAGAGAGGATCTAGCTGGTAGACTCACACATCACCAGGTCACGAGGGCAGTATTTGTTTACAGAGGCAGATGAGAACATCACATGGAGACACAGCTAAGGGACTGTGGAGTGGGAGTTGGCATTTGTTAATAGAAGGGTCCACTCTAGGATGGGCCCAGGCTCGTCTTAAATGCCCCAGATTCACATTCTCTACCTGGTTCCTCAGCCAGGGGTCTGCTGTTATTATTATCTCTGACTGGAGATTTAGAGGAATCAGAATGTGAGATCAACCATAGTGGGGAAGTGGAGTTTATCAAAGAGCAGGTAAAGAGGGATGGAGCAGTTTCCAGACAGATTCCCTAGAAGCAGTGCCTGAGGCAGGGATTTGGTGCCTGTGATGTATTGAGGGAGGGCTCTTGGAAGAAATCTAAGTGAAAGAGGGAAGGGAGGTAGGGAATGAGAAAACACTGAGCAAGAATCTATTCTCAGATAAAGTGAAGT